CGGCGGAGGCGCGGGACGGGACCGGGCCTCTACTCGCGGCGGCGCAGGGCGGCCATGGCGTGACGTCATCCGGACGCGACGGCCCCTGGCGCCGGGGCGGGAGGGAGAGGGAGGAGAGGGGAGGGGCGGGCTCCATTTCTCCACTCCCCCTTCTGGGAGCGGGACGGGCAGGATGGATGGGCCCAGGGCAACGGTGCCGGGTCCTGCACTTCGAATCACAGAATCATAGAATCATTCAGGTTGGAAGAAACCCTTGGGATCATCGAGTCCAACCATCTACCCTACTCTACATAGTCCTCCCCTACACCATATCCCTCAGTGCCCCATCTAAACGTCCCTTAAACACATCCAGGAATGGGGACTCAACCCCCTCCCTGAGCAGCCTATTCCAGTGCCCGACCACTCTTCCTGTGAAAAATTCCTTCCTAATGTTCAGTCTAAACCTACCCTGTTGGAGCTTGAAGCCGTTCCCTCTTGTTCTGTTGTTAATTACCTGTGAGAAGAGACCAGCACCAACCTCTCTACAGAGTGATGAGGTCTCCCCTCAGCCTCCTCTTCCTCATACTAAACAGTCCCAGCTCCTTCAGCCGCTCTTCATATGGTTTGTCTTCCAGGCCCTTCCTCTTGTCTTCTCGCTTGGGAGAAGAAACCGACCCCCTTTTCCCCACACCCTCCTCTCAGGGAGTTGGAGAGAGCGAGGAGGTCTCCCCTCAGCCTCCTTTTCTCCAGGCTGAACACCCCCAGCTCCCTCAGCCGCTCCTCACAAGTTCTCCAGCCCCTTCTCCTCAGGCTCCAGCCCCCTCACCAAGCTCCATTGCCCTTCTCTGGACACGCTCCAGCCCCTCAATGTCTTTCTTGTCCTGAGGGGCCCAAAACTGAATATTCGAGGTGGGGCCTCACTAGTACCGAGTCCAGGGGGGACCATCACCACCCCCCAGTCCTTCTGGCCACATCGTTCCCGATACAAACCAAGATGCTACTGGTCTTCTTGGCCACGCTGCTGGCTCTTATTCAGCCGGTTGCCAACCAAGAGCTTACCTGACACCGCACCTTCGGCTGCCGGGCAGGCTCCGCTGGGGGAAAGCTCCTTCTGGCCTCACTAGTACCGAGTCCAGGGGGGACCATCACCACCCCCCAGTCCTTCTGGCCACATCGTTCCTGATACAAACCAAGATGCTACTGGTCTTCTTGGCCACGCTGCTGGCTCTTATTCAGCCGGTTGCCAACCAAGAGCTTACCTGACACCGCACCTTCGGCTGCCGGGCAGGCTCCGCTGGGGGAAAGCTCCTTCTACAACCCCATACAACGCTACAGGCTTGGGGAGGAGCGGCTGGAGAGCTGCCTGGTGGAATATGAGCCCGCAGAGTGTCCTGGGTGGCTGAGAAGGCTGACAGCATCCTGGCCTGTGTGAGGAGCAGTGTGGGCCAGCAGGATTGGGGCGGTGAACGTTACCCTGTACTTGTCCACCTTGAGTACTGTGTCCAGTTTTGAGCCCCTCACTACAGGAAAGACATTGAAGTTCTGGATTGAGCCCAGAGAAGGGCAACGGAGCTGGTGAGGCCTCTTGGAGCACAAGCCCCATGAGGAGCATCGGAGGGAGCTGGGGTTGTTCAGCCTGGAGATGAGGGTGAGGGGAGACCTCATTGCTCTCTACAACTACCTGAAAGCGGGGTGTAGCGAGGTGGTGGTCAGACTCTTCTCCCAAGGAACAGGCGATGGGACAAGAGGAAATGGCCTCAAGTTACACCAGGGGAGGTTTAGGTTGGATATTAGGAAAAAATTCTGCACAGAAAGGGTTATCAAACACTGGAACAGGCTGTCCAGGGAGATGGTGGAATCGTCGTCCCTGGAGGCATTTAAAGGGTGTGTAGATATAGTGCTTAGTGATACGGTTTAGAGATGGTTTTGAGTGTTAAGTTGATGGTTGGATTTGATGATCTGAACGGTCTCTTCCGACCTAGACAATTCCATGATTCTGTGCGTACACGCAGAGGGGAACATGTGTGTATGTGTGACTGTGGGTACATGTGCACATACAGTAGCACATACCTCCATGTGTATGCACATGCAGAAATATATGAACACGCGTGCACATACAGTGATGTACACATAACCGTACGTACACAGACAGAGGTACAGCTACAATCAAATGCACACCTGGCGATGGACACACACATGTGGAAATACACCTGCAGACGGGGAGGAATAAACATGTGCACGCAGAAGCAGGCCACACACATCCACATGCACACAGACACGCCAGAGGTGATGGCTCACGGCTGCGGGGTGCAGCCCTGTTCCCCTCTTTCACACCCCCAGCCCTGGACAGAGCTGCAGGCTCTGCTCCTGCTCTCATCAATGCCAATGGGAGCAAGTGCCAGCGGCCAGAGCATCATGGTGGGTCTCTGTCGGCCTGCTCAGCACGCCGTCCCTCCTCATTAACCCAAGTGTTAATGAACTCCCCTCATTAGTGCTCCAGCTGCCAGGCTGCCTGGCCTTCTCCCCCCCCAAGGCTTGCTGTCCATGCTGGGTGCATGCCCGTGGGACTTTAGCCATGCCCGATCTCCTGGTCCTCTACCCGATCTGTGCCGGGGCTGCTGCTTTTGCAGGATCCCGATGCCCGTGGCTCCTTGCCCAGCCCAGGAGGTGACCCCAGCCCCTGGGGGAGCCCAGCACTGTTGTGCCCTGGCTGCCCTGCGCGCTGGCTCAGCATCTTTTGCAGCAGCCCCGAGCCCTAAGGTCTTGGGCCATCAGCCCCCATGGGCACCCCACATCAACCCGCTCTGCTGCAGCTCTCCTGGGACCCTCGGCTCCTCCTTCCCCTCCGTCTGGCTAGGTCCCAACCGTGCTTTGGCAACCCCAGAGCATCAAATGCCATGTCCCTTGCCCCAGCTGTCGCAACAGCCCCATGGGCCACTTGCCTTTCCCAGCTCTCCAACCCATGGCCAAATTCAGCCCCGGGAGGTGCAGGGGAGAGGTCCCAGGGATGCAAAATGCCTAAAAGGGTGTTTACTGGGAGCACGGGGAGGGGGTTCGCTGGCACCAGCAGGGAGGATCAGTGCTCGGGCAGCCCGCGGGATGCTGGTGGGGTCTGGGCTGGAGGATGCTCCCTCGGGGTAGCCCCGGGGATGCACCCCATGGCTGGCCTCGCCCCCTAAATTGGCTCTGCCCCCCTGTGACAACAGGCCGGGAGGGGATTGGCTGAGGCAGGAGGGGTTGGGGATGAGTGGGCGGAGAGTTTGGGTGACAGGTATATAAGGTGAGGTGGGGTGGGTTGGAGTGATACAGTGGAGAGGGTGTTGGTGTCTACCAGAGGTGAGTGGGGATGGGGATGGGGATGGGGATGGGGATGGGGATGGGGATGGGGATGCTCCCACAGGACCTTCCCTGTAGGCTCCTGGCTGGAGGTATCACCGGAGCGATAGGGTTGAGAGTACCACCATAGATTCCCCTGACTCCCAAACCCCTTGTTGCTCCCTGAGAAGCTGGGGTGAGGGTGCAGCCCCATGCCTGTGTCTCACCTTTGCTCCAGTGCTGACTCAGAGCCCCACATGCTGCTTTACGCAAGAGCTGTGCTGGAAGTAGACTCTGCCCGGGTGGCTGCCACCAGCCTGGCCCTGGCCAAAGGGCAGGCACAGCCCCTGTGTAAAGGCAGCTGTGCTGGGGCTCTGGCTCACAGCTGTGCTGGAGCTGAGCAGAGGACATGCTGGTGGGAAAGGACATCCTGGAGTGGAGAGAAGCAGGAGATCACCCCTGCTCAGGGCTCGATTCTTCCTCCCCCGCAGGCTGGACTGTCCTTCTTGCAAAGATGGATTACGCCAAGTCCCTGAGCCTGCGCCTGGCTGCCCCTGTCTCCAAGTAAGTGCCTGGGAGCCACCGTCCCTGGGGTGGGGGACACCAGAGCACTCCCTCCTTTGAACCTCTCAGCCCCTTGCGTGGATGTACTGCTCCCCACTAAGTCTGAGGGGGCTGGCACTGCCCAGGACTGGTGGTGGGTCTCAGGACACTCCAATCCGTCTATCCCTCCCCAGATGTGTCTCGGCAAGTGCCTCCATGACCCAGCAGCTGTTGTCAAGCCCAGCCCCACGGCCCCGACCCTTCCGTGTCTGCAACTGGGACCGCAGTCTGCGGAAAGGCATCATGGCACACAGCCTCGCTGAGCTGCTGCGCCAGGTGAGCTGGGGGCTGTTGGGCTGTCTGTTGGTGGACTGTCCATCCACCCAGGTGGGTGGTGGGCTGGCTTCCCCCACTCACTCCTAGCACCCTTGCAGGCTCAGAGCGCCCTGCTCGCCCCGGGTCCTGTCTCGCTGGTGCTGGATGAGGATGGAACTGTAGTGGAGACAGAGGCTTTCTTCCGGACGCTGGAGGAGGGCACGGTGCTGATGGCACTGAGCAAGGGACAGACCTGGACCGCCTCGAAGGTGAGTGCACCTCTGGGTGGCAGCATCCCTGCTTTGTACCATCTGCACTCCCCACGCTGGGAACAGTGGGGAGATGATGCTGGGCTGGGAGGTTCCTGGGATGCTCGATAGGGTGGGTAACCCTGGTCCTGTTTTTCCCTAGACGCCTGGCTACCAGCTAAGCCTGTCCCGTAAGCCCCCTCGGAGGATCGATGTTGCCTGTGTCACATTTGACCTCTACAAGACCAACCCACGGGACCTGGGCTGCCTCAACGTCAAAGCCACACTCTACGGCACCTACAGCATGTCCTATGACCTGCGCTGTTACGGGGCCAAACGGTTGATGAAGTGAGTGCTGGGGGGGACTGGAGATGGCTCCAGGAGTGGGGATGCTGCAGTGGGGGACCAGCCCCCCTGCCCATAACCTCTGTGAGGTGCAAGGAAGGATGCTCACCCTCTTCCTCTCTGCCCAGGGAAGCCCTGCGCTGGACGCTCTTCACCATGCAGGCCACCGGCCATGTCCTGCTCGGCACCTCCTGCTACATGCAGCAGCTCCTGGATGCCACGGAGGAGACGAAGGAGACAGAGAGCAGCCCAGCAGTGCAGAGCCTCCTGCCCTGCAGTCTCCCACCCTTGCCCCGCAGGAAGACGCTGCAGTGAGGGTCGGGTGCCCTGTTCCCTCTCCTCTGTCACTCCCCCAATCCCTGGGGGTCCTAGCACCCTGTTAGGTCAATGCCAGGGGAAGGCTGCCACGGTGCCTGGCACAGCCTCTCCTTGCACCTTGCTGGCTGAGCACAGCCAGCTCTTCTCTGTAATATCTATTACTCTGTAAATATATTTATTTAAGTAAAGCTCTACTGACTTTAACTGCATCTCATCTGACTTTTGCTGGGTGGGGTGTCTGGGGGGGGGGGTTACTCAGCCACTTGCCCCACTTGGCACGCTGGGGCTGTGCTGGGTGGTGGTGCAAGAGTAGGCAAGAAGGGGACCTGTTGCAAGTGCTCCCCAAGGGAGCTGCTGCCTTTGTCCTCTTTCCTACCACTCCAGCTCCCTGGCTGGCATGCAGGGCCTGCCTGCAGGGACATCCATGGAGCAGAGACCCCCTCCTGGCACTGCAGGCAAGCCAAGAGGAGGGGGTGGCATAGAAGGGCTCCTTCACCCCCAAACCCATTTGCCCATGGTGGTTAGCACAAACCCTGTTCTTGGCCTATTTAAAGGGATAAAAGTTGTCCCTGTGCTGGTGGTGGCCTTCTCCTTGGGACCCTGACTGTGCCATTGACACCTAGAGCAGGACTGGCACAGAGGGATGCACCCCTCTTGTCCTTGTGTGGGTGTTTTAGTCCCTGGGGGTCCCCAGCCCCCTTGGCAGCCCCACCCTTGCACAATCCCATAGGCTGGTGCTGCAACTGCCCCACAGCTCCAGGGATACCAGACTGGTAAACAAAACACAGCCTGGGTGACACCAGTTTATATCGACCTGGCAGCTGAGGGCGTGGGGGTGGCTGTCCCTGAGTGGGAGGTGGGGAGCCCGGACTGGGCCCCTGAAGTGCAAGCCCTTGCCAGCCAGGGTGGGCAAGCTGGGATGGAAGGGAATGACCCACTCACCTCATCTGTGCTGGGAAGCACTGGGGTGAGCAGTGGGGAGGCAAGAGAAGCCATGCTCTGGGGGTGCTTTGGGGCAGCCCCTCCTGTGATGCCCTGCAGAGGACAACACACTCACCTGGAGACCTCACTGCAGGGATCTGAGGCTCCAGCGTGGAAACAGCCCAGGTGGCAGGGACCAGAGCTGGGCTTGAGGCAACGGGGCCCACCTGAGGCTGTGGGGGCTTCATTAACCAGATAATTAACAAGCCATCAGCCTGCAGCCCAGCACCAGCTGGGGCTCAGCCTGGGGGCTGGCAGCTGTCTCACCCTGTGATAACCCAAGCTGAGGTGGGTGCCAGGGACATTGCTGGGACGCCATGCTCTGCCCCACCATTGCAGTCTGTCCCTGCCACCTTTCATGCCCAACGTCCCCATCCCCGTGACCCCAGGGGGTGACAGTGGCCACTCCAGCCTCCACAGTGTCCCCCACCCGCAGGCAGGCGGCAGCCCGGCTTTATTAGACATATTTATTTCTGTACACACTTATACACACGGTTCCCAGGGTTGCTTCATCCTCGGCTTCAGTGCTGTCTCCCTGCAGGGTCCGCTCCGTGGCAGGGGGGCACCAACACGCTTCCTGGGGTGCCCAGGGCCAAGCCCAGCCATGCTGTGCCCCCTCCCCAGCCCTGTAGTGTCTACCTGGGGGCAGACCCCCCCCCTGCAGCCCCCTGGCCAGGGCAGGGCTATGAGCCTGCCCCCTGCCTCAGTTTCCCTGCAGCATTGGCTCTGGCTGCAGCAGAGGTAGGGGTACCACATGCACTGGGGACCTGGGGGGGCCGGCCCCCCACCAGCACCGTGCTCCCCCCCCCAGGGTTCTCAGCCCATGATGCACAGAACCCCCAACCTGGGGTGAAGTTTGGGGCCACCGGAGGGACCTCTGGATGCTGAAGCTGCCCCGGTGGAGCCTCCTGGAGGGGGTGTGGGGGGGGTTCCTTCATCACCCTGACCCCTGCAAGAGGGGGGTGCCAGCAATCGGTTCCCAGCCCCCCCAGCAAGCAGTGGTGGGGGGGCAGTGAGGGGAGCTTTACTTGACGTGCTCGGCGGCGTGGGAGGAGCAGTAATACTTCTTGTGGGCGATGAAGGTGGAGAGGCTGCTGAACTTGATGTTGCAGAGGCGACAGTACCTGTGGTTGCCGTTGGGCACAGGGCCGGGCACAGCCTTGGCCGGGGGGGTCTGCACCCCCCTGTCTGTGTAGGCGCGACCCTCCTTGCCGTTGAAGCTGTCCCGGCGGAGGCGGGGGACAGGCGGCCGGGGGGGTGATGGTGCGGGCAGCGGGGGTTCGGGTGTCCTGCCGGTACCGGGCACCGGGGCGTCGGGGAGCCCCTGCCCGGCCGCCACCGGCTTGGCCACGAAGAGCCCGTGGGCATTACGGAAGTGCTCAAGGAGGTCGCCCTTGACTGCCCCGTTGAGGGGGCAGTAGGGACAGGCAGAGAGGGGTCCCTTCACCCCCGGGGGTGGCAGGGCACCCTTGGGGTGACGCTGCAGCGAGTCCGCCCCAGATGCACCGGGGTAGGGGATGCCGGGGCTCCCCGTTGGAGCCGCCCTCAACCGCACACCTTCAGGGTCCCTCTCGCCGGGGCTGCCGGGGCTGCGCCGGCCTTTGAGGGGGGCGGGCATGGCCCCCTTCATCTTCTGGAGGTGCTCGAGGGTGCGGGGCTGCAGCGGGGTGGCCGGGCACTGGTACTTCTTGTGGGCCAGGTAGCTGTCGAGGCTGTTGAAGCTGATGCGGCAGGCGGTGCACTCGTGGTAGTCGGCCAAGGGGAGCAGCGGTGCCGGTGCCGGTTCTCCTTGTCGCCGCGGCTTCTTGCTCAGATCGATGGGACCGTCGGCATCCGGGCTGGAGCGGGGCGAGGGGGGGGCCCCCGGAAGGTCAGGGGCCGGCGGTGGGTCGGGGGCCGGTGGGGGTTCGGTGGGGCGGTGAGCGGCCCCGTGGATCTCATAGAGCTTGCGGCGTTTGCGGGTGCGGAGGGGCTGGGGCAGGAAGGGGACTTTGGGGGCGCTGGGGCGGCGGAGGAGGGGGTCGTGGCGGGAGGCGCAGTAGAAACGCTTGTGCACCACGTAGGTCTCGTGGCGGCTGAAGCGGATGTTGCAGGCCTCGCACAGCGTTGGGGGCGCTGGGGCGGCGGAGGAGGGGGTCGTGGCGGGAGGCGCAGTAGAAACGCTTGTGCACCACGTAGGTCTCGTGGCGGCTGAAGCGGATGTTGCAGGCCTCGCACAGCGTCTTGCTGGGGTCCTCGTCCCCCTCGTCCCCCACCGAGCTGCCGGGGCTCTGGCTGTCCTCGCTGCATCGCCCTGACCCTGCCTCCACCTCGGGGGACCCCGCTTTGACACCCCCGTCCTCTACCTTCACCTCTGGTGGGGCAGCTGGCGGTGTGGCATCTCGGCTGGCATCACCGTCCCCCGCTGGCATCCCCTGCTTGTCACCCGCTGGGGTGGACATCAGCGTCCCCGGGGTGGGGGGACCCTTGGGTGCCCCGGGAGGGGCTTTGAGCTTGCGTGGCCCAGGGGGGCTGTCCTCGGCGAGGTGCCTGCTGGAGCAGTAGAGGCGCTTGTGCACGTAGTAGTTGTTGATGTTGTTGAAGGTGATCTCGCACTCGAAGCAGGTGGCACCCTTGGGCACCGGCGTGCCCGAGTAGATGGCGGGCGGCACCGTGCCGCCGTGGCCCTGCTTCAGCCGGCTGTGCACCAGCTCCGACATCTTCGCCAGGATCTCTGATGCCTGCGGCACCACCGCGGCTTCATGGCCGAACACGTACTGGGGTAGGAAGACAGTGCCGCCGGCCGTGCCTGTCCCCGGCTCGCTGGGCACGGGGCTGGAGCCCGGCGTGGGGCTGGCGAGCTCCGACTTGACCTTGGCCGAGGGCAGGCTGCGGGGGGACGAGGTCCGCGAGCAGGCGTCGGGGCTGCCACCCCCTTCCCCGGGGCCGCCACTTTTTGGCACCTCTGCCTCGCTCACCGGGCTGCCGGCGGGCTCCTCCTTGATGTGGATGGCCTCGCCAGAGGAGGAGGAGGAGGAGGAGGAGGAAGAGGATGATGGACCTTCCCCATTCTGCGGCTGGGCTGGCGGTGAGAGCTTGCCAGCTCTAGCCTCAGGGGGTGAGGCGGGCTGTGCCGGGGGGGGCGCGGTGTCGGGGCCGGGCGGTGGGGCGGGCAGGGGGCCGTGGAGCACCACGTGCTGCTGTGGCAGTGCCGGCAGCCCCTCGGGCAGGAACGCTGGCAGGCTGCACTTCCGCAGGGACGCGTTGTTCGTCTGGCTCAGCCCTGCTGAGGGGAGAGAGGCACCGGCGTTACCCCACATCCCGGGCACAGGGATGCTCACCCTGTCCCCCCCACCTCGCAGCCAGAGCCATTTGGGGCCGCAGCCCTTGGTTGGTGGCAATGCCAGGCTCTGCGCAGGGCACTGGCACACATGTCCACCCCCCCCACCCAAGCTGCAGCCCACGGTACCCACCAGGGGTGAGGGGTTTGGCGGTGGGCAGGGCTGGCCCTGGTGAGTAGACCTCTCCCTTGGAGCCCGGCTGGCAGATCATGTGGTTGGTGACCAGGTGGCTGTAGAGGATGTCCCTCGTGGTGGAGATGAAGCCGCAGCTGTGGCACATGCCTGCAGGGAAGGTGGTAAGTGGCTGAGAGGGGCAGGAGGGCACCCAGCAGGGCACAGGGGAGACCTGTGGGGAGTGGGTCTCCATCCCCCAGCTCTGCTGGAGGGGACAGGGCTGTCCCTGTGGGGATGCTGGGCAGTGCTCACTCACCATTCAGGGTGTCTGTGTGCACCTTCAGGTGACGTTCACAGTTGGCTTTCGTGGTGAAGGCAGACAGGCAGATCAGGCAGACGAACGGCCGCTCTCCTGAAGGACAGATGGACAGGCAGATGTCTCAGTGCTGAGGGAAGGGGGACGCGGACCACAGGGACACCCCACCAGCTGTGCTGGCCTGGAGGGCACCAGCTATGGGAAACAGGATGCCCCCTCCACCTTTACAGGACTGAGATGGGGGAACACCTACAAGTGAGTTGTCCCAAACCAGTAACCTAACTGGGGGAGAACCTCATCTAACTGGTCACTATGCTGCAGCCCTGTAGCCTCCATGCCACTCCACCCAGGTGGCTCCTGGGGTCCTTGCATGTGACCTATGGAGGACAGGGATGTGATTCAAGATAGCCAGCACGACTTCACCAAGGGCAAGTTCTGCCTGACCAACCTAGTGGCCTTCTGTGATGAAGAGACTACATCAGTGGACAAGGGAAGAGCTATGAATATCGTCTATCCAGACTTCTGTAATGGCTTTGACATGGGCCTCCACATCATCCTTCTCTCTAAATTGGTGAGGTATGGATTTGATGGGTGTACTATTCCGTGGATGAGGAATTGGCTGGACAGTCGCATCCCAGAGGATAGTGGCTCAAGGTACAGATGAAGGCTAGTGACAAGCGGTGTCCCCCAGGGGTCAGTATTGGCACCAGTACTGTTTAATGTCGTCATCAGTGACATAGTGGGATCAAGTGCAGCCTCAGCAAGTTTGTGGATGACACCAAGCTGAGTGGTGCAACTGACTTGCCTGAAGGACAGGATTCCACCTAGAGGGACCTGGACAAGCTCAAGAAGTGGACCTGTGTGAACCTCATGAGGTTCAACAAGGCAAAGTGTAGGGTCCTACATCTGGGTCAAGGCAACCCCCAGTATCAATACAGGCTGTGGAATGAAGGGATTGGGAGCAGCCCTGCCAAGAAAGACTTGGCAAGTGGACCTGTGTGAACGTCATGAGGTTCAACAAGGTGAAATGTAGGGTCCTATATCCGGGTCAAGGCAACCCCCAGTATCAATACAGGCTGTGGGATGAAGGGATTGGGAGCAGCCCTGCCAAGGAGGACTTGGCGATACTGGTGGGTGAAGACCTGAACATGAGCTGACGATGCGCGCTTACAGCCCAGAAGGCCAACTGCATCCTGGGCTGCACTACAAGAAGCATGGCCAGCAGGTCGAGGGAGGTGACTCTGCCCCTCTGCTCTGATGAGACCCCACCTGGAGTGGTGTGTCCAGCTCCAGGGCCCTCCGCTTAGGAAAGGCTGGAAGGCATGGACCTGTTGGAGTGGGTCCAGAGGAGGCCACAAAAATAACCAGAAGGATGGAACACCTCTCCTGTGAGGACAGGCTGAGAGAGCCTGAAGAAGAGAAGGCTCTGGGGAGACCTTATTGTGGCTCTTGAAGGGGGCTTATAAGAAAGATGGTGACAAACTGTTGTGATAGGACAAAGGGTAATGGCTTTTAAGCTAAAAGAGGTTAAATTTAGACCCAGTATAAGAAAAAAATATTTTACCATGAAGGTGGTGAAACACTGGCCCAGGTTGCCCAGAGAGATGACAGATGCCCCATCCCTGGAAACATTCCAGGTCAGGTTGGACAGGGCTCTGAGCAACCTGATCTAATTGAAGACGTCCCTGCTCATTGTAGAGGGGTTGGACTAAATGGCCTTTAAGGGTCCCTTCCGACCCAAATTATTCTATGATTCTATGGCTCAGTGTCCCCAGGCTGCAGCAGAGTGCTGTGCCATGACGTACCGCTGTGGCTCCTCATGTGGATCTCCAGGGAGCTGGCGCTGGGGCAGCTCTTCTTGCACTGGGGGAAGGGGCAGACACGCTCGTTGGGGTAGGTCTCCTTGGGTTTCTCCTCCAGGGCGGGCGACCCGGCGCTCTGCCGGCTGGCACAGTAGTACATGAGGTGGGCTTGTAGGTTGCGCTCGCTCCGGTACCAGATCCCACAATCCTTACACGGGAAGACATCCTCTGCGGAGGGAAAGGGACATGGAAGGCACATACATCACTTGCATGGTGGGCTGGGGACCCCTGGCATGGTCCCAACGGGCTGCACCACATGAGCCAGCAGTGTGCCCAGGTGGCCAAGAAGGCCAACAGCATCCTGGCCTGTATCAAGAACAGCGTGGTGAGTAGGACCTGAGAGGTGATCATCCCCCTGTACTCGGCACTGGTGAGGCCTCACCTCGAGTACTGTGTCCAGTTTTGGGCCCCCCACCACAAGAAAGACACTGAAGTGCTGGAGCGGGTCCAGAGAAGGGCAATGAAGCTTGTGAGGGGTCTGGAGAGTAAGTCTTATGAGGAAAGGCTGATGGAGTTGGGGTTGTTCAGTCTGGGGAAGAGGAGACTGAGGGGAGCCCTTATCGCTCTCTACAACTACCTGAAAGGAGGGTGTAGAGAGGTGGAGGTCGGTCTCTTCTCTCAAGTCACAGATGATAGGACAAGGGGTAATGGGTTCAAGTTGCGCCAGGGTAGGTTTAGAATCGACATTAGGAAACAATTCTTCACAGAGAGAGTGGTCGGGCATTGGAATAGGCTGCCCAGGGAGGGGGTTGAGTCCCCATCCCTGGCTGAGTTTAAGAACCGTTTAGATGTGGTGTTGGGGGATATGGTGTAGGGGAGAACTTTAGAGTAGGGTGGATGGCTGGACTCGATGATCCTGAGGGTCTCTTCCAGCCTAGATAATTCTGTGATTCTGTGATTCTGTGTCCCCCACCACTACCACTACCACCACCACCACCCCCCCTGCCCCTCTTGTCCCCGGGGACTCACTGTTAACCACGGCGGTGGCCAGGATGGCGGCCATGCCGGCTTGCTGTGGCAGCAGCTGGATGTCCGAGTGCAGCGCCGCCGGGTACGTCGAGTCGCTGGGCTCCGCTTTCACCGCGTGGTGGTTGGCGACGGTGGGCGGCTCCCCCACCACGAAGGCACACACGGCCTCGTCCTCCCGCAGGGCACGCGTCGTCCGGCACCACAGGGCTTCCTCTGGGGGAGGCAGGGAGGGGGGGGTAAGCATGGACACCCCCCTTCATTGAACCCCCATCCTGCTGCTGTGCTGCTGCCAGCTCATCTCTGGGCACCCCCACATCCCCTTCTGCCCCTTGTCCCCCCTCCCTGGGGCAGCGCTTCCTCCCAGCCACGGCTGAGCGCTGGAGATGGGGTGTGTTGGTTTTTTTTTTTTTTTTTTTTTTTGAATATAAATTTTGTAATATTCAAACCCCACCGCCCGCCTGGAGATGGCGGTGTCTGCCCATGCCTGAGCGCTGCCTGGCACAGCCCTGCCTCCTGCTCCCTCCTGCACCAACGCCTGCGGGCAGGCTTGCACCCAGCCTCCCCCCAGCTGCACGCTCGCACCACTGCTCGCACCACTCTTTGCACCAGCCACTGTGTGCTGGGACACTCCTCACATCCCCTGGGACAAGCTCCAGGGATGGCCAGTGGTGGTGTTGGCTGGGGTGGGCACGCACCGGCAGTGGGCTGGGGGCATGGCCGGTGCTGGGATGGGGGACAGGGACTCGAATCATAGAATCATCTAGGTTGGAAGGGATCTTAAAGATCATCTAGTCCAACCATCAACCTAACTCTGACAAAAAAAAAAAGTAATAAGAAAAAAAAAAACCACTAAACCATGTTCCTGAGGACCATGTCAACCCGTCTTTTGAACACCTCCAGGGATGGTGCCTCAACCACTTCCCTGGGCAGCCCCTTCCAATGCCTGATAACCCTTTCCAAGAAGAAATGTTTCCTAATAGATCATAGAATCATCCCTCCACAGCAGCACCCCTTCCCTCACCCAAGTGCTGAGGTGGCCATGCCTGGCCACCCCCAGACCCACCGCCCCCACCCTGATTTGTGGGGACGCGCGGCACCGGTACCAACCCTTCCTGTAGATCACGGTGTTGGCATCAGGCTCTCCGGGCACGAGGGGCAGCCGGGACAGCCAGCAGCTCTCGTCCTCCAGCACCAGTGTCACGGGTGGGCTCTGCCAAGGATGGGGAGGGTGTGAGCATCGCTCCCCAAAACGGGCTGGGGTCAGGGTTGGGGGGGTGGCAGTGGTAGGGTCACGGCGCTCCCCGCACAGCCCGTGCCCAGCTCTGCCTTTCTGCATCTCTAATGAATATTAATGAACAGAAAGGAGTTGGGGGGTGGTGGTGGGGGGGGAAATTAATCTGCTTGATCCTCCGATGGCTGCCGCGGTAACGATATGAAATCTAATTATTCGTCCCAATATTTCTAAACCCTCCAACTCAGCCTGACAGTGGCAGCCGGTTGAGGCCTTATCACCGCCAGGAGCCGAGTGCCAGCAGCGTGATAAACCCCACGCGCAGGCGCTCGCACACGCGTGTGTGCACTCATGGGGTGTACACACACCACCGCTGCTGCTGCAGGAACCTGCCTGCCCCTGTGGGGAGTGGGTGGGAAATGGGGCTGGGGGGCTTAAGGACCCCCCTTGCATGGGATACGGGGATGGGTGCTGCTGGTGGCACACGGCTGGGCTCCCTCAGGGACTGTGGTGGCCCTGCCATGTCCCCTCCATATCCCATTGCCCGGGCCAAGAGGGAAAGAGGGGGTCTCTGTGGAGCTTTAGCAGATTCGCATGATGCTTGGGGAGACCTGTGGGTACCCCCGCCCCCCTCCCCGACAGTCTGGGCACCCTGCAGCACCCCAAGGTGCTCCTAGCACCCCAGGGCATCTGCCCCGGCTCCCCTCAGTGGCCCCAGCCCCTGTGTCGAGCCCTTCCTTGTTCTCCCTGGAACAAAGAGGTCAGTGTCTCCACTCTGCACCGCCCGATAACCATCAGAAACTCTATCTGCTCCGCATCCGCTGGGACGGTGTTATCGGGGACGGCTCTGTGCCCTTGCTGTCCCCGCCGTGGGCATCGCCCTGTGGCTGGGGGGTGACACAGGGCAGGGATAGAACGGGGGAACAGCCAGGGGCAAGCAGGCACATAGGGCTCTGTCACTTGGCACCCCTAGGCTGGTGCCACTGGCAGGTTTGCACACTCTCCAGAGCAAGACTAGTTTTGGGGGAGCCCCACGGGACCAGCTTGGGGGGGGGGGGGGGGCGACAGCGCCTTTGCC